CATTCCACCTGGTGTCTTTTCAGAAAACACAGCTACAGTTAGAGATCAGAATATATGGCTATGGATTTCCTGAATACTTGACCTTGAAATATCTATACATAGTGTATCTCTAGATGTGAATCCAAAGTAATGGTTGATTTTGCCCTTAGAGTTCCATTCCATGAACTCTATCAACTAAAACACTAACCAATCAACAAAAATATTTACTGATTATCATATATACTGGATATTATTTTTCCTATAAGTGAAAAATCTATCTGATGAATTTTTCATAACACATCCTGCCTCTTTGCTCTTTTCTAGCCAAGACTAAGGAGGTGACCAATAGCAGTGGCTCCCCTAGAAGGAGCACTGTTGTTCAGCACAAGGAAAAGTAAGAAAACATGGCTGTCTTTTCTTTCTTTTTTGTAAAGAGTTTGAGACTATTCTAAGAATATGCTGTGAACATTTATTTTTTAGTTATGTTTATTTTTGCTGCTTAGTTTTATTATCTGTGTCTTACTTTTCTCTAATTTATGTGCAGTTATGGGATAGTATAAAAATACAAATAAAAGAGTGAGTTGTTAAATTAATCTTTCTGAAATAAAGGAATTAATAAACATTTCTACTAAAAATCTGTATGATTTGTTGTTTGCACAAAAAAACCAAAACTCATGCTTTGAGGTCTCCAACTCCTAACCCTTCTACTGAAGGTAAGAAAAATATCTAATTTTAGTGCTTTCCTTATTATTTAATAGAGAGTACTAATATGTTTATAAGTTAGTTATGTAAAATATGGGAAATGACATACATTTCTTTAACAGATTTCATAACATGTTCATAATTCTAGACTAGGAGTAACACAGTTTTCCCCTCCTATTCGCAAAAACAAAACTGTAAAGATTTAAAGCTATGAATTAGTACAACTAGAAATATTTGATCAGTTAACTCACTAAGTTTGGCTTAGGAAAGCTATAAATTATTTTTTTAAAAAACTGTTTTGAGTGTTCATTTAAAATACTAATTGTAGTATCCTCTGATGGTAGTGTGTATTTCTGTGGGATCGGTGGTGATAGTCCTTTTATCATTTCTTACTCTCTCTTTTCTTCTTTATTAGTCTGGCTAGCCGTCTATCTATTTCTTTGGTCTGAAATTGAGGCAGCACATAATGGCCTGCCAACCAAAAAAAGTCCAGGACGAGACGTGTTCACAGCCGAATTTTACCAGAGGTACAAAGGGGAGCTGGTACCATTCTTTCTGAAATTATTCCAAAGAATACAAAAAGAGGGAATCCTCCCTAACTCATGAGACCAACATCATCCTGATATCAAAATCTGTCAGAGACACAATTAAAAAAGAAAATTTCATGCCAATATCCATGATAACATTGATGCAAAAATCCTCAATAAAATACTGACAAACCGAATCCAACAGCATATCAAAAAGCTTATCCATTACGATCAAGTTGGCTTCATCCAGGGATGAAAGGCTGGTTCAACATATGCAAATCTGTAAACATAATCCACCACATAAACAGAACCAAAGACAATAACCACATGATTATCTCAATAGATGCAGAGGCCTTTGACAAAATTCAACAGTCCCTTATGCTGAAAACTCTCAGTAAACTAGTTATCGATGGAACGTATATCAAAATAATAAAAGTTATTTATGACAAACCCACAGCCAAAATCATACCAAATGGGCAAAAACTACAAGCATACCCTTTGAAAACGGGCACAAGACAAGGATGCCCTCTCTCACCTTCCCTAACAACATAGTATTGGAAGTTCTGGCCAGGGAAATCAGGCAAGACAAAGAAGTAGAGAGTAATCAGTTAGGAAAAGAGGAAGTCCAATTTTCTGTATTTGCAGACAACACGACTGTATATTTAGAAGACCCCATTGTCTCAGCCCCAATTCTCCTTAAGCTGATAAGCAACTTCAGCAAAGTCTCAGGGTACAAAAATCAACGTGCAAAAATCACAAGCATTTCTATACACCAGTAATAGACAAACTGAGAGTCAAATCATCAGTAAACTCCTATTCACAATTGCTACAAAGAGAATAAAATACCTAGGAATACAACTAACAAGGATGTGAAGGACCTCTTTGAGGAGAACTACAAACCACTGCTCCAGGAAATAAGAGGACACAAACAGATGGAAAAACATTCCATGCTCATGGTTAGAAAGGCTCTATAATTAAAATGGCCATATTGCCCAAAGTAATTTAATGGATTCAAAGCTATACCCATCAACCTACCATTGACTTTCTTCATAGAATTGGAAAAAACACTTTAAACTTTGTATGGAACCAAAAAGGAGCCTGCATAGCCAAGACAATCCTAAGCAAAATAATAATAATAATAATAATAAAGCTGGAGGCATCACACTAGCTGACTTCAAACTATATTACAAGTCTACAGTAATCCAAACAGCATGGTACTGGTACCAAAACAGAGATATTGATAAATGGAACAGAACACAGGCTGCAGAAATAATGCCACAGATCTAAAACCATCTGATATTTGACAAATCTGACAAAAACAAGCAATGGGGAAAGGATTCCCTATTTAATAAATGATGTTGGGAAAACTGGCTAGCCATGTGCAGAAAGCTGAAACTAAATCCCTTCCTTGTATCTTATACAAAAATGAACTCCAGATGGATTAAAATTTTAAATATAAGACCTTATACTATAAAAACCCTAGAAGAAAACCTAGGCAATACCATTCAGGACATAGGCATGGCACGGACTTCATGACTAAAACAACAAAAGCAATGGAAACAACAGCCAAAATAGACAAACCGGATCTAATAAACTAAAGAACTTCTGCACAGCAAACCAAAATATCATTAGAGTGAATCAGCAACCAACAGAATGTGCAAAAAATTTTTGCAATCTACCAAATTTTTGCATCTGACAAAGGGCTAATATCTAGAATTTACAAAGAACTTAAATTTACAAGAACAAAACAACCACATCAAAAAGTGAGCAAAGGATATGAATAGACACTTCTCAAAAGAAGACATTTACGCAGCCAACAAACCTATGAAAAAAAGCTCATCATTACTGCTCATTAGAGAAATGCCAATCAAAACCACATTGAGATACCATCTCATGCTAGATAGAATGGTGATCATTAAAATATCAGGAGATACCCGATGCTGGAGAGGATGTGGAGAAATAGGAATGCCTCTATACTGTTTTTGGGAATGTAAATTAGTTCACCCATTGTGGAAGACAGTGTGGAGATTTCTCAAGGACTTAGAACTAGGAATACCATTTGATCCAGCAATCCAATTACTAGGTATATGCCCAAAGGATTATAAATCATTCTACTATAAAGACACATGCACACGTATGTTTATTGTGCACTGATCACAGTAGCAAAGACTTGGAACCAACCCAAATGCCCATCAATAATAGACTGGACAAAGAAAATGTGGCACATATACACCATAGAATAGTATGCAGCCACAAAAAGGATGAGTTCATGTCCTTTGCAGGAACACAGATAAAGCTGGAAACCATCATTCTCAGCAAATTGACACAAGAATGAAATACCAAATAATGCATGTTCTCACTCATAAGTGGGTATTAAACAACGAGAACACATAGACACAGGGAGGGGAACATCACACACTGGGACCTGTCAGGGGCTGGGGGACTAGGGGAGTGATATCAGGGGGTGGGGCATAGGGGAGGGCTAACATTAGGAGAAATACCTAATATAGATGACTGGGTGATGGATGCAGCAAACCACCATGGCACATATATACCTATGTAACAAACCTGCATGTTCTACACATGTACCCCAGAACTTAAAGTACAATAAATAAATAAATGAAATACTAATTGTATTTCTTTCACATATTTCTTTGTAATTAGCTTATTTAAAATGTGGTTGGATTTTTCACTCAACCAACACATAATTTACTTTTTCTTTGGAGCACTTCTCTAATAAAATTATTACATTATACTTTATAGCTCCTATGAGACACAATATTTTATTACAGATTTCATTGCCTTTATCAGTACTATGAGTAGACAGGATAAGGGCATATTACTTTATAGGAATTTAGAACACAAAAGAAGTTAAAGCTGTATCAAAATTTACACATTTTATATGTCTGGACCGAAATGTTAGTTCGTAAATCTGCAGAATATTTATTTTATATTACTATTTCATTTATGCATCTACTACAAACCAAAAAGATTAAGATTTCTAGCCTCCCAAGCTAGTTACATGCCAGTGATTACTAACCTTTATCCTCATTTTGCTTGATTTCACTGAACTCTGAAAAAGACCTCTAGGAATGCAAAAATAGTTCCATCAAAGAACTTAACATGATAGTAATTCTTTTTTTTTTTTTTTTTTGAGATGGAGTAGCGCTCTGTTGCCCAGGCTGAAGTGCAGTGGTGTGATCTCAGCTCACTGCAACCTCTGTTTACTGGGTTCAAGTGATTCTCCTTTCTCAGCCTCCTGAGTAGCTGGGATTACAGGCATGTGCCACCACTCCCAGCTAATTTTTGTAGAGAAGGGGTTTCACCTGTCTCAAACTCCTGACCTCAAGTGATCTGCCTGCCTCGGCCTCACAAAGTTAGGATTACAGGCATGATGCACCGTACCCTGCCTAATGTGACAGTAATTCATTTTGACTTTACAGTTTTCTTTCATTTAAAAGATTGGGAGTTTGGAAATACAGTGTAATGAAACACTATGTAGTGGTACAAATTGTCTTGGCAGTATTTGGGAACACCTGCCTAAAACTAAAGATCCAAACTCATATACCTAATTAGGGAAATCTGGATCTCCAAAAGTCTAGGCCTGAGTGCTTTCTGTTCTGCGTGAAACACACAACTGCAATGCTTTTCATCCACTATCACCAGTATATGCTGCAAAGGAATGTAGTTTTGAAGGCTAGTTTAAAAGAACTGCGAGGACTCTGAAAACTTAAACTTAAGCCTCATTTCGAAATATTATTATATATTTGCATGGTAAAAAGAGTCATATACCTGCCCCAGGCTGCCTCATTTGTAGATGCTTTATTAACTGGAACACAGGAGGAGTCAATGACAGTTGATTTGTTCATCTTGTAGCAGAAACCACAGTCTGGATCCAACATACATTCATTACAGTAGCTGAAAAATGAAAAGAGTTACCGTTACATTGGCAGAGACAACTGGTGCTCACCACATACTGGATTCCATGTGCTTCTCTGCATTTTCCACTCTCTTGTGCAGTAAGCCTGGAGCCGTGGGACTTGTTTTGGCCAAGGAAACTGACATGTGCTGAGCCAGGTGAAAGCTGGCTGGTCTCTTCAAATTCTCCCTGTTTTGGCCCCGGCAACTTTGGAAGCCGCTTTGAGCTGACGGAGGCTTGGATCTGAGAGGCTGAATGTAGAAGAGTCTCCACCAATCTGGAACAAATAAACTTTTGCTTTCCTAAACCACTGAGATTTGTTACCAAACGGTAGACTGACTCATTGAGATCCAGCCCTGACTGTTCCAAGTAGCATCAAAGCATTCATTTCTCTTAATTGTCATATGCTATTTTAAAAAATGAAAATACCTCATATGCTATTTTAAAAAATGAAAATATTTTTTTTCCAATACATATCCTGAAAAAGAAAATTCAAACAATGAAAAACATTATGTCTAAAAAAAAACTTAAAAATACTACTACTCAAATATGGCCATTGTTCACATCTTGGTGAAATCTGTGCTTTCAGCAAACATATACTGAGTGTCAATGACATATTATTCTTAATTTAAAAGAAGTAGGTATAGGAACAAAGACTATCATCTAATCACATCTGCTAATTAGATCACAAATTCATAATCGATTACTAATTGCTCATTTGACAGAAGTATTCTCGCTGCAGAAAAATTTTGAAGAAGCAAAAAACTTTAGAGGGCAGGGTTTGCCAACTAAAGCCTACATCGACATCATGCTTAGAGAATGAGTTTTCTCCCTCCCTGTCACACAGTCATTTTCCAGACAAGAATTCTGGAGCATTTTACAGATGGCAAGCACATTCAGGGTGCCAGAGATACTAAAGATGAATAAGACAAAATCCATGCTGTTTTGTAGATAAAAGGCAAGCATGAGAAACAGAACAATGACAATATTTTGGAAATGGTATGAGCTACCTGGGATGGGGGCCGATTCATTTAACTCTGAGAGCTGGGAACCATTTTAGATGTGACATTAGAACCAAATCATTAAAGAAATTCACCAGGCAAAGAGATAGAGCAAAGGGCATTTCAGAGAACTGCTTATGTCGTCATTAAAGATCAGTCAGCACACACTTACGAAATATCTACTGCGTACAAGTAATGATACGAAGGTTTGTGAAAGGTAAAACGTCATCTGAAAAAGACATACAAGTTGTATGAAAAGACTAAGAATATTTCTTAATGTTCAAAATCAAAATCTCCTTTGATTCATTTAACTAAATGTGAAAGCACTGGTGATATGGTTTTTATATTTGTCCCTTCCAAATCTTATGTTGAATTGTCATCCCCAAAGTTGGATGTAAAGCCTGGTGGGAGGTACTGAATCGTGGGGGCAGATCCCTCATGAATGGTTTAGTGCCATCCTCTTGGTGATGAGTGAGTTCTCACTCAGATCACATGAGATCTGGTTGTTAAAGAGTCTGGAACCTTCCTCTTCTCTCTCGTGCTCCTGCTTTCACTATGTGAGGTGCCTGTTCTACATGAGCCTTCCACCACAAGCTTCCTGAAGCCCTCACCATGCTTTCTGTGCAGCCTGCAGAACCATGAGCCAATTAAACCTTTGTTCTTTATAAATTATCCAGTCCCAGGTATTCCTTTATAACAATAAAAACAGACTAACACAACTGGCCTGGCTTAAAAATCAGATTTGTGCTGGCCGGGCACGGTGGCTCAAGCCTGTAATCCCAGCACTTTGGGAGGCCGAGCTGGGTGGATCACAAGGTCAAGAGATCGAGACCATCTTGGTCAACATGGTGAAACCCCGTCTATACTAAAAATACAAAAAAAAAAAAAAAAATTAGCTGGGCATGGTGGCGCGTGCCTGTAATCCCAGCTACTCAGGAGGCTGAGGCAGGAGAATTGCCTGAACCCAGGAGGCGGAGGTTGCGGTGAGCCAAGATCGCGCCATTGCACTCCAGCCTGGGTAACAAGAGCAAAATTCCATCTCAAAAAAATAAATAAATAAATAAATAAATAAATCAGATTTGTTATCATTTCAGCTTCCTCCTGTAAACCCTTCCTGAGGTAGACAGTCACCCCTACTGCTGAATGAGACTTCAGCCCTAGACAAAAAGCAAAAGAGAAGCCATTCAAATGTACTGAGAGGTGATTCAGTAATGTAAATATAAAATTTTCCACACCTGTGATAAGCATGCTAAACCAAACAACTGAAGGCTTTAGAAGTAGGTACCCTGAGTGTCTGGCTTTGGGAACCAGACTAGGCTAATTTGGAAAGGGAGATAATTTCTACTAGTATTTTATTTGTGAATTCTGTCCATATGAAATTAAATTTAACAGTGTTAACTGTTTCAGTGGCCTTAAATGATACTCATGGGGGAAAGGCCAACTCACCCATTTGCAGAGAAATTATTCTCAATTTTATTTATCTGAAAATACGTAGTCCCTATAAAAGTCCAAAAAGCATAATGATAAAGGCTATTACTGAGAACTTCTTGTGTGTACATTTCAGACATGAGATGTCATTCATAACAAATAACTACCTCCATTCCTTAAGCATGACACCAACTTCCCACTTTTCCTGCTTACTTATTAAATGATCTTCCTGTGACCTACTATGTGCCAGGCACTATTCTAGGTGCTGGGACATGTGAGAACAAAACAGAGTCACTGCCCTCATGAAGCTGATCTGCGTATTAGACCTGATGATCATCAGTTAACTAACCCCTCTACTTGCTCTCTATTATCAGTTTTATCCTTTCTCTAGCTTACTGACCACTACCCATCATTTCAATATCCTAAATTTCCCTCCTCCTCTATCATTCCACTATACCCATCTAGCAAACCTCCTGCCCTATATGAATGCAAACACTGGCCTTTTCTGTGACTTCACTCTCACAGCCAAATGCGGCTGAAGGAATCACACAGAGCAGTTGAGTAGCTCTTCCATAATTCATGATCACCAGCCTCACACGGATTCTCAACAAGCCTTATCTAGATGGCTTTAGTCAATATACAAATCATAAAGCTTCTTAGCCCCTTGATTTCTAATTCTTTGCTTCTGCTTAACTTTCTCCACATCTTGGAAGTTATTATCTATGACTGGGGTCAGCAAACTACAGCTGCTGAGAAAAATCTGGTCTACCACTTACTCTATTAAAAAGGTTTACAGAAACACAGCCATGTCCACGTGTTTACTTATTGTTTATGACTGCCTTCATGCTTTAAGGAGAGTTGAGAAGTTGTAACAAAAATGATGGCCTGCAAAGCTTAAATGACATGCAAAGCTGAAAATATTTCCTATCTTGCCCTTTACAGTAAAAGTTTGCTGATCCCTTATCCAGAACACCTATATAGATCCCCTGTGCAGATATTTCACCCCTTTTCTTCAAATTCCCTAACTTCCTTACTCCAAGAATGACTGCTCTTGTACCTCACAGAAACCTTCAACACTCTTTCCCCACTGATCTCTCACTTACTCCATGGTTTCACTTCCCTCTCTATGGAACCTTCATGTGAATCCCACTAACCACTCTCACCAGATCCTCAGTGTCTTCATATTTAGTTTCTTCTATAGCAGCTTCCCTGCAGAACTTCATGTTTGGCTCTTTCTGATCCCTTTTCTACCTCTAGACCATTCTGTACTAGCAGAGGAATAACACAACCAGGCATATTGATACAAAGACACATTCACAGTTTTCAACCATAGTTGGATACTCACTGTTGCCAGGAAACTTTTCCTGTCCCTAATAATAGATAGATTGTCCCAAACACCCAAAACTCTCTTCAAACCCCAATCCTTATTCCTCCACAACTTTCTTAGACGATGCACTTGTATTCATTGGGGCTCAGAACATGCTATGGCATAATATGGCACCTTGGAGCTTACATCATAACCTTCTCCCCACTTTTGCCTCTGAAGCATGGTCATAAAAAAAAAAAATCTTTGGGTTGTGTGTGGTGACTCACACCAGTAATCCCAGCACTTTGGGAGGCCGAGGTGGGCAGATCACAAGGTCAGGAGATAGAGATCATCCTGGCCAACATGTTAAACTGCGTCTTTACTAAAAAAAGTACAAAATTTAGGGGGGCCAAAGACCTGGAACCAACCCAAATGCCCAACGATAGACTGGATAGGGAAAATGTGGTACATATACACCATGGAATATTATGCAGCCATCAAAAACGATGAGTTCACGTCCTTTATAGGGACATGGATGAACCTGGAAACCATCATTCTCAGCAAACTGACACAAGAGCAGAAAATCAAACACCGTATATTCTCGCTCATAGGCGGGTGTTGAACAATGAGAACACATGGACACAGGGAGGGGAGCACTACACACTGGGGTCTGTTGGGGGGAAACGGGGGAGGGGCGGGGGGCGGGGAGGTGGGAAGAGATAGCATGGGGAGAAATGACAGATACAGGTGAGGGGACGGAAGGCAGCAAAGCACACTGCCATGTGTGTACCTATGCAACAATCTTGCATGTTCATCACATGTACCCCAAAACCTAAAATGCAATAAAAAAAAAAAAAAGAAAAGAAAAAAAAATTTAGGGGGGCGTGCTGGCTCGTGCCTGTAATCCCAGTTACTCAGGAGGCTGAGGCAGGAGAATCGCTTGAACCAGGGAGTCAGAGGTTGCAGTGAACTGAGATCGCTCCACTGCACTCCAGCCTGGCAACAGAGCAAGACCCTGTCTAAAAAAAAAGAAAAAGAAAAGAAAAAAAGATCTCTGACCTACATTCTCTGAAAGCAGATCATAAGACCCTCAGCCTCTACACCCAGACGCCAAGAAGAATCTGAACAAACAGGCCTCACCGAGTTCTCCCCAGGTTATTACCATTAGGTATTACCTTTTTGTTCTCCACTCTTATTTACAACTACTGTTCCTAAAAATACATGTTTCCCTGGGCACAGTCTTTATGTCTGAAGGCTGTGTCAC